TCATTGATACTTTTGGCACTTTTTTGGAGTATTTTCATAAGTTTTGTTTTTCCTGTAAATGATTCAATAAATACCGTACCGTGAAATTCATTCCGAGGTATTACCGTACCGTGAAATTCTGAGACCGTTACATCCCTAATATATATATATATATATATATATATATATATACACATGCATACATATATATATATATATATATATATATATATATATATATATATATATATATATATATATATATATATATATATATATATATATATATATATATATATATACATGCATACATATATATATATATATATCAGAATGAGCCTGGGTTGACATTACAATAATCCAACCATGAAGAAACTTGGACAACTATCTCCATCTCTTCCTTTGAAACAATATTTCAGATTTTTGCAATGTTCCTTGGATGTAAAAAGCATGTACGAACATTCCCTTTAACGTGGCTATATAAAGGGACTTTTATTATGTAATCACTATGCGATCGTGAGAATTGTAAGATAAGCTAGTACCTAAATATACTGATATTTGTTGTGATTCAGAGCAACTTTTCTCTATCCTAATAGGGTTGGGTACCTAAACCTGTCTTTAATTCTAGTTCTCCCCCTTCCCCTGTCAGTGTGTCTATCTCCGTGAGATAAACAGCACAGTGACAAACATGATGGAAGCAGATTTCACGCAACATATGTGAAAATACTACACCAAGAACTTTCCCGATGGTTAGACAATGTATTTGATGTGGAGTTAATTCAAGCCTTTCGATGAGTCACACACAATGCCGTTCCAAAGTTCACACACAAACACATCGGACACAAACATAATGCGTGTGTTTAACTTTGCTGTTTTTGCACGGCAAATGTGACAGGATACACATTAATATACACCGCTGTATGGATATCGGAAGATTCTTGATCACATTTGACAATGATTGATGATCACAGCGAGCTGAACAGATTTTTTAATCCCAGTTGCTTTCCACACGTCCTGTCCTGTTAAAATGATTATACACGATACTACGGAGACATGTCAATATGTGGCTGCCGATCAATTCGGTGGATGGGGTATCCGCATATCCTATATCACACTGCAGTTGGCCTCAAAATGGGAGGCATTTGGATCCTTTTTTAACATCAGGAAATTTCAAAAGAGACTTATTGTGTTTCTATCACTCTAATATGACTGTAGATACACTATACCTACACACAGTTCTGTCCAAACAGCTTACAAAAGCTAGTAAGCCCAATAGTAAAGCTTCTTTTAAAATATTTAAAAATCCTACTGACCCCAAACTTTTGACCGGTAGTCTTCATGCCTAAATGCAGAATTTGCAGCAATAGCCTGTGTTATTACATAATTTGATCATATTGATACTTTTGGATATGAATTCAACAAAATATATACTGACATGTTAAATAATTATAGACCAAACCATCTGTGATTTGAAAAAGATACTACAAGCATTAACAGGAATCATGTTATTTATACCACAAACATTAGATAGTTTCCACTGATTAAATTTATCATAAGAACCATCTCTCTCAGCTCTGATAAGCAAACATGTTTTTTGTGTGGTGAATAAGTCGGTGCAAGGGTGCATTTCATAAAAAAGAAGGTAACTCGCGGCTGAACTATCATTGTATAATGCATCGATTGGGAAAAGAACTATAGTGAGGAGTGTTTCCCAAAACCCGTTATTTCTCTGTCGCAGATCCGTTGTTTGAACCCTGTTAGTTATAACGGAAAACACCCATAATGATGCTTTAAACGAGGTGGAGTAACAACCTTTTTAAAGAAGAACTCATCATTTCTTTGTGCAAATTATATTGTTTTACACACACACACACATTTAAAATAAAATCCAATATTAGTTTTAGCAAAATCATGCACCCGCTTTCCATATTAATTCAAATTTATGTAAATGGTACATATAGGGTCTGTGTTTCCTTTACAAATATTATTGAGAAGTTGAACATTACATATTCTATTCTAAAACATAAAATCACTTACAACAGCTAACACGTATTCTAATCTCATATATACATTATATAAACAAATAATGAGGCTTTTTATTAAAAAGTGAAATGTAATATTTATTATTTATTAGGAAATGAAAAATAATAATATTAATGTTAGTAATGAAGATCATGATGATTATTAATAAGTAGGATATTGCTTATTTATTTTTTTATAAGCAAAAAATAAATAAATTTCACTTTGACACATGCAAACTACTGCAGAAATGTTCTTACCAGCAGGCCCATGTTAGATACAGTATAGATACTTAATAAAGAGCCCACTATAAAGGAAAACCATTAACGTATGCTATGTTTTTTTTAAGCTTTGGAGACATAACATAAATTCCACTTTTAAATAATAGGTCACCTATAGCTTTCGACTCATGAGGCTGTGTTCAAAATGACATCAATGTTTTCAATGTGCACTGCGAAGGAAGCACAGTTGTAAACATTAAGATCGCTAAAACTGAACTGTAAAAATACTTTGAAAGCAACTTAAACCCAAGAGAGATGACTTTAATGCTTTTTTCTATTTTTAATAATTTCAAGTGTAAATGTTAGAATGTTCTAAATGAATAGGGAATAGAGGGGATCAGTGGGAATAGAACAAATGACAAATCAACGAACTATGTTTATAACGACAGAACTTGCGACCTTAGTTGGCTAATGATGGTTTTGGGAAACGCACCCCTGGTTGGTCCTTACAGTTTATGTGGTGGATTTATAAGTACAGTTTTTCTTAACTACCAGAGTGCCATTTATTCACAGATTAATAATATATTAAATTACATTTCTATAGCTCGGATAATCTCAATAACACACAAAATAGCACAGTTGAAAAAGAAAGGACCTACTCGCACTATGCCATCCGTACCGTGCCCAGGCCCGTTTCCCGGATCGTTTGAGAGGTGTGAGTGCGATGAATCGGGCTCCAGCACGGTTCACTTGGCTGGCCCTGGCCCATTTGGAAGAGGTTGGCCTGAGCACGGTTCACTTGGGCTTTGGCGCGGTAGACTTGTGTGTGAGTGCAAAACGTGCCAAAGCCCGAAACTGAAAGCCAGACGTGACTTTTAGGGACTGTTTCATGTGGATTTATTAATCATTCTTACTGTTCAGTGAACGCAAACTGTCTTAGTTTATTAAAGACACAAACCTCTCACTGCACGACAGCTGCGCACCTTCAGCAGACCTCCTCATTCCTGCAGCACGAGAGCATTATGATTCTGAGCGCCAAAAGTGGCGGATCTGTTCGGCGAAATATCTGACTGCGTGTCCCCGCATCCCTAAGGACTGTTTGCAAAATATTTGACTGCATGTCACTGCATAACAAACGACTGAAACGACATAACTAGAGAAATCTTCACTGTGCTGCTGAGTGAGAGCGCTTCTCAATGAACAGCACAGCAGCAATGACGTAAGCGTGCCGAGGCCCAATTGTGTGTGAGTGCGGACCGTCGGGGGAGACAGGAGGGGGGAAAAGCGTGCTTTGGCCCGGTTCGAGGCAACTGTACCTAGTGTGAGTACGGCCTAAATCTACTCATTATGGGGATGGATGTGAGGCCATGGTGGACAAAGGCCAATGTCCAAATTTAGTCAGGATGTCGGAGTGAGACGTGACGAAGATTTTTTATTCTCTAAAAGTGTTCTCTAAGTGTGAAGCCAGGGCCGCCGTGTCATAGAGGCGACCTAGGCGGCCGCCTAGGGCGGCAGTATAGAGAAGGCGGCATCCGCGACACCTCCCTTACCACCCGCGTCCTCAGTTATGTCTGCGACACCTCCCTCACCACCCGCGTCCTCAGATATATTCGCGCATAGACGACAGAATAGAGAATGCAGTGTCCGCAACACCTCCCTCCCTCAGCACCCGCGCGTCCTCAGTTATATCCATGCATAAATTGCCGGAAAGAGGTCCACGACACCTCACTTAATTTTCATAATCACTTTCGTTTTCACATTGGGGTTGAGGGCGGCGTGATCGTCCTCTGCCTAGAGCGGCAGTTCAGCTTGCTCCGGCCCTGTGTGAAGCAGTTTGTATTCTCTAAAAGCAAACATGTAAACTAAACATAACATGAGCCAGGCATAAGCCAGGCTAAAACTGGATTTGTGTAAGATGAGTAAGACTATCGAAAAAAAAATAGCTTAAAAGGGCTAATAATATTGAACTTAAAATGGCTTTTAAAAAATTTAAAACTGCTTTCATTCTAGCCGAAATAAAACATAAGACTTTCTACAGGAGAAAAAATATTGTCAGACATACTGTGAAAATGTCTTTGCTCTGTTAAACATAGTTTGTGAAATATTTTAAAAAGAAAAAAAAAATCAAAGGGGGTCTAATAATTCTGACCTCAACTGTATGTTAAATACTTATATGAAGCTATAGCGAGTAACATATCATCAAGTTATCATGCCATCATGACAATGTAAACCCTTAGGCCCAATCCCAATTCTATCTTTGTACCCCTACCCCTTCCACTTCCACTTGGCCCTTACAACAGAGGGTTGTGGCAATAAGATTGTAACTATACTGTGTATTTACACAATGGCCATATTCATCTATGCAAACACACGAAAACAACAGTAAAATTATAGCAGACACTGTAAAAAGCTCATTCCAAGCCACTAGACTTTTCTGACAGGGGATTCTAGTTTCATCGAGTGACAGAATGCTGTGGGACTGCTATACAGAGACCCTAAATGGACCTCATTCAAAACCCTGAGAAGTAAAACATCAATTTCGTGGCCTTTAAGTGGCTTTATGCTTGAACAGTTCATGATGGCTACACACTGCTTTTAAAGGAAGAGATTTTTTAAAGATAATTTTATAGAGTCAGTGGGTTTGACTTTCAAAATGACTCATACTTTATTAAAGCTAATCAAATGGGTCTCCTCTACTCTTAAAAAAATGTTTAGCATGCAATATTGAAAAAAAGGACTGTCAATCTGAATGTCTCCACCTATCTTAAGTGTCTATTTATACAGTGTTTTGTCATTGAGAGCTCACTGATCGTCTTCATCATGACCATCATCTCTCTGCTCCTGCTGGTTTCACTGGTGCCACACCTGACCTTCACTGGTAAGACATGATTTACAGATTTGCTCAGAATTTTGAAAACACAAGTTTGCGGTAATTGACTAACATATGGAACAAAATCAATGCCAAAAGTATTGAAGTATAAAGCTTGTTGACTAGCACAAACTGAAAAAAATACACTGAAATAACAAGTGCTTGCATTTGATTGACTTAAATTCCAGGGTTTTATTTTAGGTTCTGAAATTTAACAAAGCTGTTAAAGCTGTGAATATTTCAACTACTTATTCAAAGTACAGTATATTTCAAACTATTTCAAACACATTTTCATACTTATAAATTCAATAATTCATATTACATTTCCAGATTTAACTAACAAAATATTCAACACTCTTTAAAAATACAGGGATTATTATTCAAAAGGCAATTTTCAGTTCATTTTATTTCAGGTCAAAAGTTCACTTCCATAAATTCAGTGGCTCAAATTCGACTGTAAATTTGCAGGAAAAGCAATAGATTGCAGATTGAAGATCGCAGGCCGCTTTTTCACCCGCAGGTGGAGATGGAATAATTTAAGATTTTTAACCCAGTAACATAGAGAAAAATCTAATAAAGACAAAAAAGTAGCATTTAATATTAATATCAATGTCTTGGGCATTATAAGTAATAAAATGAGTATGAGTAAATTATGCTTTGGACATTTATATTTGTCCTTATATAACAGAAGCCAGCTGGTAATCACGTAAACCTCGCTCCTCAGATCTCAAGAGGTGATCCAGCGACAGACATTGTTCTGCAATCTTTAGCCTCCTCCTTAGAGCATTTGTCTCTGATGCCGGTATCGCCGGCTCGCGGCCTGCTCGGACTGGTGGGGTTGCATGCACATAAACCACATAAATGTTTTACGTGCTCTATCTTTATTGACTCTTCCATAGACGTAAAGTAGCCTATTGACTGCTGAATATAAACGTGAGAGAAACAGGGGAGGAAATAATATAATAATACAAAATATATAAACATAAATGCCAGGGCCTAGGACAATTAAGAACTAAGATATTAGTTACAAAACCAGATAAATTCTATCAGAGTGTGTCACACAAAACAGTTCACTTGGAACTGTTAGACAAAGTGTTCAGGTATGATTTAAGATTGGGTATGGATGGGACGTGTAATTTAAAATAATTTAACATAACACGAGAATACATTAAAGAAGCATCTTTAGTTATTCATACAGACCTGTTTAATATATGGCATAACCATTAAGGGGTTAATTTTTTTTTTTTTTTCAAAAATACAAACCCTGTAATAAAAGCTATTTAAATGCAAGCAAGTGTATTATTGTTTTGAGTTTGTGCTATTCAACAAACGTTTTCATTTAATACTTTTGCCATTGATTTTGTTCTATACTAACAACACTATTGCTTTCAGCTCGTGTAGGTATACAGGACGGCACTGAAGCAAAACCTCACTCCAGACCTTACATGGTTTCTCTTCAATTTTATAAGCTGCATATGTGTGGTGGATCCCTCATTACTGAAGAGTTTGTCTTGACTGCTGCACATTGCTGGGAAGAGTAAGAGTTTTGTTTAGTGTGAAGTGTGATGTTGAGCTAAAATCTCTTTTGAATAACACATCAGCTGCAGTAGAATCACACAGTGCGTCATATGGCATTGATACAATGTACTTTTTCAACAGAGATGATGTCCTCACGGTTGTGACTGGTGCTCATGATTTGCGTAAAAAAGCAATTAACAACGTCTATAAAGTGAAATCCTACATCCCGCATCCAGACTTTAATTCTAAAACTCTTGAGAATGACATCATGCTTTTGCAGGTATCAAGCTGTAATCCTTTTATTCTTTGGCATTTGGTGGTTCTGTTTTAATACACACAAACAAAAATAGCGGAATGATCATAAAGAAATAAGTTGTAACAGTTTTCAATATGGGTGCACTAATATGCGTTAAAATACTTAACTAATGCACAGATAATCATGGGATAATGTATATTTAAAACTTTATCACTGCATGAACAACAAATGATTATTCTATATGGTTCATACTTTAAGTAATCTTTAAACTGTAATAGTTAATTGTGTCATAATGAATTAATTCCCTAATAGCATATAGTATTAGTTTAAATTACCACAACAGGTCGTAAGCATGTTTATTAAACTACCAGTTGTCTACTTTAATGATTTGCAAAAGTATCATGATGTTATAATTTGACTTGTTGAGCCACAGACAGGACCATTACCTAACTGCGTACAGTATATAACCCATTAGTAAGTCCAGTGCCTAAACAAGCAGTCATAACATGATAATGGGTAACACGTTTTATTAAGTGTCAATTCATGCTTTTACCTAAGACTATTACCTCAATAAATACTCATTAGCTGCTTATTAATAGTTAGTAACTTAGATGTTGGGTTTAAGTTTTTGGTAGGATTAGGAATGCAGTATAAATCTAACTTAGTACTAACAAATATCTTAATAACAGGCGGGTAATACATCAGTAGTTAAAACTTGCGACAGATTAAAGTGTTACCACACAATCACACCTATGCAAATCTTTAGCTAATAATTAACTAAAGCAGACAACTGAGAGTGTAATTACATGATTTTAACTATGATAGCAATTAACATCTGAACGTATATCATTAGATAAGATAATATGTTATTAGGGAATAAATACATTGTGACTCATTTAAATAATTTAATGATTAATGTATGAATCATGTTGATTATTCATTTGTTGCTCATGCAGTAATCATTAATAATTGGTTGAGCTCTTGAAGAGTTATGCATGACCCGTGATTGTATGTGCATTAGTTAAGCCTTACTATATACCAATACGTTTAAAATTAACAATTGTGTTTTGCATTACAGCTAAAGACAAAAGTCAGACTGAGCAACAATGTTGGACTGATATCATTACCAAAGGATGGAGAAGATGTTAAAGCAGATACTCTCTGTAGTGTTGCTGGCTGGGGGGATCTGTGGAGTAAAGGCCCAGAGACTGATCGTCTAAGAGAGGCAGAGACAGTTATAGTGAATAATGCAGAGTGTGAACGCAGATGGGAATCTGATTATGTGGCCTCTAAGATGATCTGTGTTTATGGTCATGGTGGAACCTGCAGTGTACGTATGAAAAATTATTCCGAATTTATGTTAATGTTTAAACTAATTTCACTAGTGACGTGTTGATCTGTGTTTTTAACAGGGTGATTCAGGAGGTCCTTTGGTTTGTGGAGACACTGTTGTTGGTATCACTTCTTTTGGTGAACCTTATCTCTGCAATTCACGTTTGTTTCCTGATGTGCATACTAGGATTTCAGCATATCTTCCATGGATCCACAACATAACTGGAAAGGTTTAGTGGCTTCATGAAAAGAAGAAATGTTTTTCTTGGAATCTTCCGAAAATCATTCAATAAAACTATCAAATGGCAAGCATCAATCAGTTGTATCATCTTCATTGTCACAACCTATTAGAATTAGAATATTAAATAATTGTAATTACAAGACTATGAGAGTTTAAAACTACTGGTCAAACATTTTTCAGACTAGAAACATATAAAAATGGCACAGAAAGACATCTAACAATGGTGCGCTTCAATTCAAAGTTTCATATTTGTCGCTTGCATTCTTTAAAGACTTACATCATTCATTTTGTTTAATTAACATTTGGAAATTTTAAGGGTTTAATTTGAGCAAATGACTTTATATTCACTGTCATAGCGCAGTTTCCCAATAAGATCAGCATCTGGCTAATATTCATAATCTCAACCACATTCTTAAAACTGAAAAAATAAATAAAAATAAAAAAGATAACAATTGACTTAAATCAGTATTTTCATTGATGCAACTTATTATCTAGATCCACCTTCATTTTGCCGATGATCTTGTGTTTTTAGTAAGTCGTAATTTTTTTTTATTACGCTATTTTTGCATATGAGACTTACACTACCTCCAAGATTAGGGTGAATTACTCTAAAATCATTACATATTTAACTTTTGCATAGGAAAAATAAACATATACTGTTACATACCTCAGCTCACTAGCCACTCAATGTACTTTTTACAAATATACTTTTATTTTAGTTATATTGTTTATAATGAATAGACTGAGGAATACAAAAAAATATTTGTTAATAGCATTAAGGATTAGGTTAATCTGCTGGGTTAATATACCAGAGTAATTTGCTATTCATTTCGACCCCACATAGATCAGGAACTAAGCCAAAAAAAAAATAAAAAAAATGAGTGAGTGAGTGAGTAGACCAAAATACTTGTCAGATATGCTAGATCAGGGGTCACCAATCTCAGTCCTGGAGAGCCGGTGTCCCTGCAGGGTTTAGCTCCAACTTGCCTCAACACACCTGCCTGGATGTTTCAAGTATACCTAGTAAGACCTTGATTAGCTTGTTCAGGTGTGTTTGATTAGGGTTGGAACTAAAATCTGCTCAACACCGGCACTCTAGGAACAAGTTTGTTGACCACTGTGCTAGATGAATGTAAACCAAAAAGATCTTTCAGATTGCAAGGTCCAAGGCAGCTAATAACACCTAGAATTCATTTAAAACATGGTGAACGGGTGATTAGATTCCAGAGGAGGTCAGATGTGTCCCATTGGTAATTACCTTTAAAAAGTGATAAGCCATGCGAAGCTATAGTGAATTCACAACAGTAAATGGGCATGAAGAGTTCATGATCAAATTTGGTGGGGGCACCATCATGCTGTGGGAATGTGTGGCAAGCAAAAGTACTGCAAGCCTTGTCAGAGTTAATGGTCGCATGAATTTCACCCAGTATCAGCAGATTCTTAAGACAATGTTCAGGAATAAGTCAAGAAGCAGACGTTACTCCTGGGTTGGATGTTTCAGCAGAACAACGACACAAAGCACAGTTCCAGATCTACCAAGGAATTCATGGTCAGACACGACACAATGTTCTAGAATTGCCATTCTGTTATTTCAGCAAAACCTGACTGTAATGTGTCCAGGCGTGCCTGGACAGGTCCACCTGTCAGTTTTTGTTAAGACATAAATTGCATTGCCTCTGTTGATGAAATAAATGTTACGTCAGAACTGTTGCTTTTTCAATAGAATATAAAAAATATTCAAATTAAAACGCTGATTTGAAAGGTCAGCAGATTATGACCATCAAATTGGAAGAATATGCTTAAAACAGCTATTCATCAAAGTTTAGTATTACCTAAATAATAAATCAGTCAAGCAATTGAATTGTCCTCATTGTCTTAACCATTTTCAAATACAATATTAACACTTGTCTGGTCTTAGCATTTCTTTTTTCTACAGTGCATATGTGTGCCAACATGTGCCTCCAGCGTTTGTAGTGTAAAAATAGTTTTATAGATGGTACAACCTTCATGAAAATAGAAAATAGTTCATTTTCCAAAATTTTGAGGTCATTTTAGAAAGATGCATCAAAAAAAAAAAAAAAAAAGGTGTTAAAATGGTCACAGGTCGTTTTTGATCTGTAAGTCAACAAGATGTTTTAATTTAATATAGAGGTAAAGGATGGGGTGTTTGGGGGTCATCTTGACAACTTCTTAAATTTCCAAATCAGACATTAAATGGTGGAACATATTTAAAATTATTGATCCATTTGACCAAACTGGTAAATAAAATAAAATGAAATAATTATTAAAATAAACAACTATCATCTGTTGCCTTTTCCTAAACTCACTACCAGAGATTACGCACAGTGCATCCGAAAAGGATTCCTATCGCTTCACTTTTTCCACAGTTGTTTATGTTACAGCCTTCCTCCAAAATGGATTAAATTAATTTATTTCCTCTAAATTTTATACTTAATACCCCATAATGACAATGTGAAAAAAATATTTTTTTTAAATTGTTGCAAATTTGTTAAAAATAAAAACCTGAAAAATCACATGTACATAAGTATTCACAGCCTTTGCTCAATACTTTGTTGATGCACCGTTGGCAGCAATTACAACCTCATGTTTTTTTGAATATGACAGCAAGCTTGGCACACCTTTCTTTGGGAACTTTTGCCCATTCCACTTTGCAGTACCTCTCAAGCTCTATCAGCTTGGATGGAAAGCGATGGTGTACAGCCATTTTCAGATCTTTCCAGAGATGTTCAATAGGATTTAGTTGTTGTTGTCGCGCGCGTACTGAAGAGTGGTGTTGTCGCGCGTGTTCTGATCAGCACTGTTGTCGCACGCGAACTGTAAAGCGGGGGGGTGGGGAGTGGGGAACGCGCGTACTCAAGAGCGATGTTGTCGCGTGCCTACTAAAGGGCGGTGATGGTGGTGGTGGGGAGGCGGGGGAAGTCGCGGGGGCACTTTTGATCATTTTGGAAGGGCACTTTCTATCCAAAACTAAAAAAGGCATGTGCACTGCACAGGTTGAGCCCTATGTGTGCACGTGTGTGGTCTCATCAGACCACAGAATTTAGTTTCTTATGGTCTGAGAGTCCTCCAGATGCCTTTTGGCAAATTCTTTACTAAGAACTGGCTACCATCTGGCCACTCTACCATACAGGCCTGATTGGTGGGTTGCCGCACAGATGGTTGTCTGTCTGTAAGGTTCTCCTCTCTCCACAGAAGAACAGACAGAGTGACCATTGGATTACTTATCACATCCCTGACTAAGGCCCTTCTACCCGATCACTCAGCTTAGATGGCCGGCCAGCTCTAGGAAGAGTACTGGTGGTCCAAACATCTTCCATTTACGGATGATGGAGGCCACTGTGCTCATTGGAACTTTCAGAGCAGCGGAAATTTGTCTGTAACCCCTCACAGCCTTATGCCTCGAGACAATCCTGTGTCTTAGCTCTACAGACAATTCCTTTGTCTTCATGCTTGGTTTGTGCTTTAACATGCAATGTCAACCATGGGACCTTATATAGACAGGTGTGTGCCTTTTCAAATCATGTCCAATCAAATTAATTTACCACAGGTGAACTTTAATTAAGCTACTGAGATATCTCAAGAATGATCAGTGGAAACAGAATGTACCTGAGCTCAATTTAGAGCTTCACTGCAAAGGCTGTGAATACTTATGTACATGGGATTTTTCAGGTTTTTTATTTTTAATAAACTTGCAACCATTTAAAAAAATATTTGTTCATATTGTCATTATGGGGGTTTGTGTGTAGAATTTTGAGGAAATAGATTAATCCATTTTGCCATAAGGCTGTAAAATTAAAATATTTGGAAAAAGTGGAGCGCAATGAATACTTTCCGACTGACCTTTAACCCGCCAGCTGCTCTAGCCAAAGCTTTGGTTACTTTCGCCAATACAAAACGTTGGTTTTAATGGTGCCCACAGCAAAAATCTTGGGCTGTGAGCAATAAGAAACTTGTATTGTTCCACCTTAACTGTCTTTCCCACATCTGGGAGAGCATGCATCCCTCCCAGCACTTCAGGTACGTTGGGCACAACTCACCCCCCACCGCTCAGGTACATTGCACGCACACGCCTCCACCGCTCTTCAGATACATCGCGCACCATCACCGCCACCAAGAGAGTGGTGGAAAAAAACAAGTAAGCTATTTTAGCTGTAATATTTGAGCATATCAACTCATTTACACTGACAACACAGAATCAGTATCTGGAACTGGAACAGCATTCAGACAGGCAATTCCTACAGATTCGAACAGGGTAAAACAAATCAACGAGGCGATCGGCACATTTATAGCTGTGGATATGAGAGACCTTAATCGGAAGTGGAAATGTCAGGTTTTAAGAAAATGTTTAATGTAATAGAGCCCCGTTACATAATTCCGTCATAAGCCCATTTCAGTCAGATAATTCCTGCTTTCACATCCACTAAAATGGCAGGTGCCAGTCAAATCAAGCAGATCTGTGTTGTCTGAGGAAAAGGTGGACACTCATCTTTCTGAAAATAAAAAATACTTAAAAATGGATTGAAACTGAGTTTATTTTTTATAAGATGCTCTTTGGTTTTGAGTATAAAGAAGGATTTGTTTTATTTGCTGCTAAGCAGAAACCCCAGAAGTATAGCTCTATCACTGTTTAAAGTAAAAGATCATACTTTTATGATGTTAGTTTTAATACATGAAAACATTAAAATCAGAGAAATCCTCTGGCTTTTTTTCTTTTATTGCTGTATCGAAAACATATCGAACCGTGACACCACTGTGTCATATCGAACCGAACCATGATTTTTGTGAATCATTACACCCCTAATACTAATATATATTATATTCAGGGCTTTACATTAACACCTGCCAACCCGCCAAATGCAGGTAGATTTCGGCGGTAGCGGGTAAGACAGACACTCCCACTAGCCACTTTGGCTTGTTGAAAATAATTTTCCCATATAATAATTCTTAAAAGCAGGGTTCGACCAATATGCATGCACAGGCGATCGAGAAGCAACATGACTGACAAAAATAATTGCATTCGCAACTTCGTGCTAGCAAAGCAGGTGAATACCGAA